TGTGATTAACTGACGACATGTCATATATTAGACATTTATGAATCGTTAATAAACCAGTCAACCTTTTCTCAAATCGAACAAACTTTTGTCAAGTCGGACATCGAATCGTTTGTCAAACACTTATGCTCATTAGCACTTCTATATCTGCGTGTGTGAGCACTCTTTTATTTCATTTGTTTTCTTTTTTAGGTTTCGAATTAACAAACTAACTAATCAATTAATTTTTCTCATCTGGAGGGTGGAAAAGAAACTAAAAGCGGATTATAGTGGGGTTCAGTTATGAAAGATGCCCTCTACAAAGACACTAATCTTCCTTTTTGTCCCCTTTTTCCCTCCCCCCCGCCTTTCTTAACTTGCCCTTTCTCTTTTATTTTTCTGATCAAATAGGTTGCCCTTAAAATGTTTTGAGTTAATGAATTAAACAACATAACAATTTGAGATGGTTAGGAAACAGTAAACAGATTAAATGTCTAATTTGGTGGGTGGGGTTTGAATTCAAGAAAGATTTATGCAATAGGAGCTTCGGCAGCGTTGTTTTTATGTCTTATTTTTTTAGTATTGAATTGCAGGGTTCCATAATTGGTTTGCAGATTGCTGTTCCTCCAAAGAGAAGAAAGAGAGAAGCTTTGAGAAGAAAGATGCCGTGAATGTGGTTTGTGTATGTAGAACAATTCGACTTCTCTCCACCCTTTTTTTTTTAAACTTGGTAAACCTTTGTATTTTTTAAATAGGAATGATGGTGGATGTTCATGTGACAGTCTTCTTGTCTTTATAATAAAGTCTTGGAACCGGCCAATCATGTATAGTGCGCGTCTAGTGATTGGGTTTTAATTATCTAATATGTCATTAAATTATTGTTTGGGTGTTTCCGTAAATCCAGTTGTGCTTAGTTGGTAAGTTTCCTCCGGGAATGATTAACTTATTAGGCCCCGAAATGATTAGTAGGAAGTTAATCACATAATTATAATATTTATGCATACACTACTTTGACAAAGGGAATTAGAGGACTAGCTAATTAAGCTTTGCTACTTGCTTGTACCAAATTTCATAGTTGGACCCAAGATTGCCCCTTAGAATAGTGATTTACTATCACTATACGCTGAATATATCCAAGTCATAGAAGAATACAGAAAGTTTGTGATCGGGAGACTTTGTTTCTATGTATTTTGACTTCCTCTGTAACTATAACGTTTCAATCGGAGACCAAGTATAACCAACGATCGGGTGTAGTATAGGGTAAACAAGTAATAAAATTATCGGTTCTCGTATCTCGAGATGTACCTTACTTCGCCCTAAGTTTTCTTATCTAACCAATCTAGAATAGTGGTTAAGAGGAAACTTGCTAAACTAACCTAACCACTACTCTAGCAAATTACAAGTTGTGGAGCTCTCTTAGCTTGAACCCTCAAAGTTTCATCATTTGAACAAATGTTGCATACCATCCTAGCTCGGTTGACTCAATACCTATATCGGTAGTAGATCGACTCCCTAGGGGATTGACCAGGACTGGCGTAGCGATGAATTGGTAGGGAGATCGTATACCGTCAAGAGATCGACAAAATCGACTCCCTCGGGGGTTAACCCGGAACGACATATAATCAGAAGTGACTCGAATTGCCAAAACTGGGCTACAAGAGGATTATCTCCCTCTTCGGTCAAAAGCTCAATTGACATGTAAAAATCATGCAGTTCATGATAAACATCCATCAACTAGATAATATGAGCAATCAAACATAGGACTTGTCAAATACATCAATATCAAACCAAAATCTAGACCTATGGTTCATCAACCTAAGAGAAGAGGTCTAATTCATAGAGGAGGAGAAGGATTACAATATAGCTCAAGATCTTCATCTCCTAGGCTTGATTCCTTGTCTCCAAACTTGTTCAATGCCTCTAATCCAAGTTCACTCAAGATCTCTCTCTCTCTCTCTCTCTCTCTAGAAATGCCCCTTTAGTTTTTTGGGTAGGAACCCAAAAGAAGAACCCATAAATTCCAAAACCTAGCGAAGCTCTCCCTTTCTCTCTCACAGTTGCCTTCTATTTATACTGCCCGAGTGCCAACATCACGGGCTAAAGATCACTACCATGATCTCAGCACCCAGGGCATGATCTCAACCGAAAGTGTTGCGAATTGCGCTAAACTTCACCACCTCTTTGGAAAAGTTCACGAGTTGAGGTCGTGATCTTTGACTCCAGCCCGTAATCTTTTCCTCTTCTTCACCCTTTTTGTGCGCTTCGATCTCCAATTGTCCGGAGCTCATCCCCGACCTTCCCATACGTACTAGGACCTGAAATGTGAGAACAAAAAATCACAACCAAACGTAAATAGATCGAGGAACGAAAATTACCAAGTCAAATAATCAAGATATGAAGTGGTAAAACATGTATAAATGCGCCGAATCAGTATTAGTGTACCCCACTTTCATGTATAATAGGATTAGTTCATTTTCGTTGGTATTATGGACGCAAGTGAATGTATTGTTTTTTGGTGTGCAAAATAGAACACAAAGGGGCACTCTACCTCAGTTATTAGTAAGGCGCAAAGAAGAGACTCCTACAAGGTCGTACATCAACCAATAATTCAGCATCTTGTTGGGAGCGTCAACAAGATGGACCCCAATAAAAAAAACTATGGCCAAGACAAGCTAAATAATCAGCAAAAAAATCCCCCTCTTTATAAACATGTATAATGCTAACCTGCCAGTCTCGCTGAAGTAGGTTCTGGACAGCCATGATCATAACATAGTGTCGGTCTCCTATCGACGTTGACTGCAAAAGCTGGATGGTCGTGTGGGAGTCAGTTTGAACCTTGACTTGAAGAATGCCCGCAATCCATCAAATGCATAGTCTATACGCTATACGGTATACCTGTCAGCTCAACATGATTAACAAATTCGCCACCCAAGTTGAGGACAAAGGCTCGAAATAGCCTTCCACTGTCCTCATGCAAGCACCATTGATGATACTTTATTTATAGTGTTTGTCACTCCTATTCTTGATATATTTTTCCCTTCTATCAAGACTTTTTAGTCACTTAAATGGAATTTCCTATCTAAATCACAATCATTTGATTAATGAGTCTTTGATAGACCTAGGTCATGTTTTTCTACTCATTGATGCATTATGGGTACATTTTAGTTGGTTTTGAAGGTATAAAATAACATAAGGAACTGTGTTTGGTTAAGTCGCCCTTATCTTCTCTACTGGTCTACACCTGCTTCTACGTTGTGTATGGAGTTTTAGGGTTATACGGGTATGCGCCATCAAGCAAATTAGGGTTAGATGAATGAATAGGATCTTATGGTGAACGAGGTGATCGTGCCCCTGTCATAAGAATGCCTTCCTAGATAGAACCCGAGATGAAACCTCGGTGTGGACGGTGGGTAGTACCCATTGAAATGAGCTATGTTCTTAATGCCCCAGATACGATAGCCTAAATCGAGGTGACTGACATGGGTTTAGGGGAGGCGTACTCGGAGGTGTGTGGATAACCACGAAAGCCCATGGAAAAGAGCTCACTCAGTACATTCGTGAAGCCCAACTTATTTAGATATTGCATAGTAGTCCTAGACTAGGGTGAGGGATAGCGGTTCATTAACGTTGTAACATTGGCCTTATGTGCTTAGTCAAAGTAGCAAGCAAGCCAACTTTTTCCCATCCTTTACTAAGATCTATTTCTTTCATACCACCAGGAAGCCTAGCTACTTTCTGTATCAGTGAAGAAACTAAGAAAAGAAAACTTTGGCAAGCAACTCTTTTGAATAGCTTTAGTAATAGCCTGGTCTGTCCAGATGCGGATGTAGTGGTTCTAGGTCGAGATACAAATAATTAATTAGTGTAGGGCCTAGTCGAGAATTTCATGCCTCCCCCTATCGGTTCCTCGAAGTACGTGCTTTTATCCTTATTTGTTCCTTCTATTAGTTATTTCACTTGAATCCTCCATCGCAACACTTTAAACCGATTGGCTAGATAACAACAACGTGGAAAGTAGGCTAGGGTACCGATACCCAAGTGAACACGACCTTGATTGCCAGTATATGACAACGACATTTTAGATTAAACTTGGTCTAGGATGGAGTAGTGATTGAAACATGCTAACTATTGACAATGAATTGCACATAATGAATCAATCATTCAACTCTTGCAGTTGAATATCTAGAACTGAGTAAAATAATTCAACCTCATGGTGATGAAGGGTGGGAATTGAGAATTTAGTTTTCAGTGTTTGGATGAAAAAATTGTGAAAATCAGATTTTAATTGGTCTTTTTAATATAATTATGTTTATGTTTTAAAGACAAAAACAATTATTTTTTAGTATAATGGATAATATTTTCTCTAATAATTATAGTGTTATGGGGTCTGAATCAAAAGACTATCATTTTTTTTTCCTTTGTCTCCAAATCCAAACTACTAATAGGATGTTTCAAATTTTAGGGATGTCTCAATGCCTATATATTCGACCTCCTAACTCAAACTAGTATCAGAGATCGTTAATTTTTCACAAAATATTAGGTGTGTCCTGGATGTGGAAAGGATGATTCATTCGGATCGACATGAGTGTCCAACTACATTGCATTGCCAGAATCTATGTTGTATATTTGAAAGGGGTTGACCTCCTTACTTCTCTCATGATACAATCCTCTTCTCGCTGAGCCCCTTTTTCCTCGGTCCACAGAGACACAGATCCGCACCTGATTATGATGTGATTATTCTAATAAATTATATATGGCTATGTTTTTGAACCCATGAATATCTATATATTCATGGATACTCGTTGAGTTACGGTTGAACGAATGTTCACTTCTAGAACCCAATGAATATTTTATCCAGTTGTTTTAATGGGTGTAGCCATGGGTTGGTTTGGGTTATACAAACCCGACCCATTAAGCAAGAAACCAATTCAATTGCAGTAATTAGTACGGCTCCTTGTCTCTATAAAACTCCATCCTTCCCCCTCCTTTCCCCTTCTTTGCTTATGTCTTCTTCCTTTCCCCTTTTTCTGCTTAGCTTTTATTCACCAAACATCATTGCCCTTTTACCGAACTTCCCCTCCCCTTTCCCTTCTCTTCTTCCTCTTGCTCCTCAAATCTTAACGCCATAGTCGGTTCTCCCTCTCCACCCTCCTGAAAATTCCACCATCCCTCTTTCCCCCCGCAAATCCCCAATTGGGTTTCCTTCGATTCATTTGAAAACGAAAACTTGACGACCAGACAAGACAAGACTGGCATCCACTGATGGAGAGCGAGTTCTTTCTCAACGCAGGGATGAATCCAGTCCCGCCATTGCCTCTGCATTTCAACCCAACTTCTTCCAATTCTCCTCCGATGCCCGCCTGGCGCTCCCTCCCTCATTCTTCCTCGGCCATGGATATGAGTAATGCCAACTATGAGCAGCCTCCTCCTCCTGATTGCTTCTTCGGAAACCCCAATTGGGATAGGTCAACGGATCACCACACCGGAGGCCTCCAGTACGAGTCGGCGCTCAGCTCCATGGTTTCCTCTCCCACGGCTTCCAATTCCAACATTCCCACCGAGAGCTTCATGATAAGGGAGCTGATTGGAAAATTGGGCAACATCGGGGGCCACGGCAGCAACAATCCCGGTGAGATCTCGCCGCACTTGGCGGCGGCTTCATCGTACGGCGGCAGCGCCAGCAATTCGTGTTATAGCACCCCTTTGAGCTCCCCGCCCAAGCTGAGCCTCCCCAGAATGGATCAGTTCGTCAAGACGATGGGTCTCAATTCCAGCGTGGCGGAATTCAGCGCCGATCCCGGGTTCGCGGAGAGAGCCGCCAGGTTCTCCTGCTTCGGGAGCCGGAGCTTCAACGGCAGGACGGTCCAGATGAGCGGCGGCGGCGGCGGGGGTTTGAATGCTCTTCCGGCAATGAACGGGAGCCTCGGTGGCGGAAAATTGCCCCGTGTTTCCAGCAGCCCTTCTCTAAAGGCGCTCGGATCTCAAAAGGGGAACAAGGGTTCTCCTCCTCCGCGCCAGGATGGTGGTGAATTGGGCAATTCCTCTGCCTCCCCTGAAGAATCTTCACTATCGGAGCAGCGGATTCCCAACGCCGCCGGAGACGGCAGCGGAAAGGCTGCCGCCGCAGCCGCCAACGAGCCCAATCCCAGGAAAAGGAAAGCCGCCCCGAAGGGGAAAGCCAAAGAATCGGCCGCCGCCCGACCCAATGCCAGCACCGCAAAGGTGGAAAAAAAATGTCTAGAAGAATAGTAATACCGCCTAAAATCCTAATCCAATTTCCGCCAATTTCAATCTGAGAATTTTGCCTGTGTTGTTTCCAGGAAGTGGAAACGAACGAGAACCCAACTGCGAAGCGGAGCAAGGGAAATGGAAACAACGAGAGCAAGTCCCCCGCCAAGGCGGCGGAGGAAGACGCAGAGGCGGCGGGGAACAGCGGCGGCGGAGAGGAGAAACATAGCAAGGGTAACAATAACGAGTCGAAGCCGGTGGAACCCATGAAGGACTACATCCATGTGAGGGCGAGGAGAGGGCAAGCTACTGACAGTCACAGCCTTGCTGAAAGAGTGAGCAATCCCTCTTCCTTCTATTAATGGCTGAAACAAAGTCAGTCTCTGGTTGTGGTGTTTGGAGCGGATTCAATTCGAGGGTTCCCGGCCTGTTTTAACTAACGAGCATTCGAATTATGATGATGATGATGATTACAGGTTAGAAGAGAGAAGATCAGCGAGCGAATGAAGCTTCTCCAAGATCTTGTTCCTGGTTGCAACAAGGTTGGTCTCTGCTGCTCTCTTCTGACTTTTGATCCATGGAGATTTTAATCTTACGGAATCCTGTTAATTTGCTGATTAATGTTTGTGGGCCGGGGAACTGTGTGCAGGTAACAGGAAAAGCGCTAATGCTGGACGAAATTATAAACTACGTGCAGTCATTGCAACGGCAAGTTGAGGTAAACTTTAATCTTCCTTTTTTCCTTTACTTTAAACACCCTGAATGATTAATCAAAAGAAAAAAAAATGAAACGACCCATTATCTGCCCACTATCTTTCTTTCTTAACAAATCTTTTTTTTTTTAATTTCCGAATTAAATAACTATCTGTTTAATCAATCACTCAATCAAGTAATATTAACTAAATTGATTACAACTGGGGGTGGTGGTGGTGGGAGCAGTTCCTGTCGATGAAGTTGTCTTCCGTAAACACCACCAGGCTGGATTTCAGCATTGACCCTCTCTCTTCCAAAGATGTGAGTTTTGACTTTCTTTGCGTTAAATGTTAATCTCATCAATTATTATTAAATAATTAACGCGTAATTGCTAACCCAAAAAAAAAAAAAAATATATTAGCAGATGTATCAAAGAAACAACAGTGGAATGGCGCACCCAATGTTCCCAGTAGATTCCTCGGCGTCAGCCATATTGGGTCACCACCACCAAAATCATCATGGCAGCAACAGCAACAGCAGCATCTCTCATTGCCCGCTCGATCCCTTCGCTCTCCACCATGATCAGGTAAAATCAAACAGACAACAAATCCAGCCACAGTCATAACAATAATAATAAATATTTAACCGCCTGCATTGTTGGAACAGTTCCAATCCTTCTGTGACGACGACCTCCAGAGCATTGTTCAGATGGGCTTCTCCGGCAATGGGCCGGACGCAGACTACAACTCAGGTGAGCAAAGTCAACGGCTTGCTACCGCTAATTATGATTATTATGGTAGTTTAAGCAAAAAAAAAAAGGGGGTGGGTTGGGTGGAGCTGGTAACCGACGTTGAATTTCACATGCAGGTTCATCGCCCAATCACCAACCATCATCTTCCCATATGAAAGTTGAGATCTGAGGCGGCACTCCTGCTGAATTAATCATTCATCATGTTTATTTTTATATATATATAAACATCAATATTCTTTGGTCCTCATCGTGATGATTAATTAAAGAGGAAAAACTCCAAGGAGGAGGAGGAGGAGACGAGATTGATTGATTGAAGCGGCTGGCTGGCTGGCTGGCTGTGCTAATTATGCTCTTTGTATTTGTATATACCAAGAATTGTTAATGAGGGACCAACAACAAGTATATTTATATATATATATATTTAAGGTGCCATTTTATAATTTACTAGCTGCTAGCTGAAGAAGAAGAGAGGATAGCTTTTACTTTTCAATTAGCACCGACTTTGTTTGATTGAGGGTTCTTTTTAATGAAGCCTCTCCTCTTGTTAATTCTTTTTTTTTTCCTTTCCTGGAACTAATTATCCACTGTAATTTTTAATTTTTTTACTTGTAATATTTATTTGTCTAGTTGTTCTCTTCTCTCTCAATTGTGTACCTCGATTGGTGCACCATTCCATGTAAGATTACCCGGCTAATATTTTTGTTGTAGTCATCATGTAAGATTCATTAATTCATGCTAATTTGAAGAAGTGTTCATCATTCAAATCACACTATCGTGTTAGTGCACCATATAAATATGCATGTCCATTTATCTTATTGTTCTGTAGATTACCTGCATCCTGATAACATTTTTTATTGTTGTGCTATTGTTCATTTACTATATTACTTTGCATCGCATTTATGACAACTAATTAAATTAGTTATTAGTCCAAAGCCCCAACAAACCAGGTTAGAGGGTGACTTGATACAGTGCTAACCCTATAGGGACAACGACATGCTAACCATCAGTTATAGTAGTCCATGTTAGAGTTATAGTCCTATAACTACGCAAAAATAAAGACTACAACTATAAAAAATAATAGCTACAACTGTAAAGAGAGAGAGAGAGAATCGACTACAACTGCAAAAACAATGGCTACAAGTCTATAACTACGAGTGTAGTCTGTACTGTTATAACTCATCATCGGGATGATGCTAATGTTAGTAAGAAGGAGCCATCCAAATAGAAGAGTTCAACTAACAAGAGGTAATTAGAAGGGGGTCACATCACACAATTAAAAAATCAAGAGAAGGAGAGGGAGGGTTAGATCTTGTAATCTTGTGGATTTGATTCTTATGGGTTTTGATGGGAAGGGAGGGTGTTGGTAACCAGCTGTATATGTTGGAGCCATTTGCCTACAAAAGTCTAAATTTCACTGATTAAGACCAATTGGTTTGTTTGGTTTCTTCATTATTGGCAGTGGTTATGATTATTATTTTTTTCTTTTCTTTGAGGAGGGGAATTCAATAGAAATGATGCATGGGTATTAATTAGTAGGGGGATGGGGTCAAGATTAAAGCTTTGCTTAATTTCTGCCACTCACTCACTCACTCATTAAACCAATAGAAAAGAAAAGAAAAACCCTTTTGGCCTTGTGTAAACTTTCCCAATTAACCAAAGCAAAGAAGCAGAACCTTCCCCAGCAGCAGCAGCAGCAGCACTACTGTTACCTTCCCAATTGCCTGCCTTTGCTGGTTTTCTTCTTGTTTTGATTGAGGGAGTGGAGTTAATTAAGGTTTGATGAATGAGGAGATTAAAGCCAAAGCCAAAGCCAATCAATCAAAAGGGGGTGTTGGAGGTTAGAACTGCTCCTTTAATTAATCACTAATTTAAGACAAATTAGGTCATTATTGGTTGTATTAAATTATGTAGACTTGGACAGAGAGAATCCCAGGTTGGCAGGCAGTGGTGAGATTCTGACTAGGCCCATTGAATTTAACCCCTTTAGTCTTTACAAAGACACTGAGCTTCCTTTTTCCATCCCCCCCTATTTCTTAACTTGCCTTGCCCTTCCATTATTCTTTTTTGTTTCAATGGGTTGCATTTTTTAATGTTTTGCTTTATTTATTTTTAAATAATATAACAATTTGAGATGGCTAGTAAATAAACAGACTAAATATCTAATTTGGTTGGGGGGTTGAATTCAAGAAAGATTTCTGCAATGGCAGTGTTGTTTTATGTCTTTTCTGTATGCATTTTGTTGCAGAGCCCATTATTGGTTTGCAGATTGCTGTTTCTCCAGAGATAAAAAAAAAAAAGGAAAGATAACAAAAAATTCAGAAGAAAGATGGCCGGAATGGGGTTTGTGTATGTATTATATACAGAACAGTTCGACATCTCTGCCCATTTTTAATCTTTGTAAACCTATGTATTTTAATAGGAACTAGAAATTAGTCGCGCTTTTGCTGCGGCCTGCGGGCGATGTGCTTAGTAAAAATGTCTGCCTGAGGACCATTATCGTTTAATGAGTACTAGTGTGGGCCTCGGCCAGTTGGCCGGAGGAAGGTGAGGTATGAAATTTGATAATACAATGGGGTGTATATCTTATTGTTGTATAGTTTTTTTTTTGGAAATTCGTGATAAAAATAGTGAATTTTAGCAGGAAAGAGACATGAATGATGCAATGAATCAAAAATCGGCCTTATGAACCAAAATCAAGTACATGTTACCTTGTGAAACAATATTGTTTCTGGTAATATGATGAGGTGGAGTAAGTTTTATAGAAATCGAATTCCAGAAAATCGAATAAAAAATCGCCTATCCCGTCCGTTTTCGGGAAATGAGCATCTCACAATCGTTGCTAGCTTTTACTCGACCCGTTGGTCGATTAATTTGCTTTATAAAACTTTCATCTTGTCGTCATTGTGCTTTCTGGTTTTTGTTAGGCCATGATAAAATTTAAGGAAATCAAGAACGAATAACACAATTTGGGATAGGAACCGCCGTTGTCGTATCCTAGAAAATGGTGGTAAACACAGACTCACCTGCCAAACTGGTTTGGATTGAGATTTTTATCGGGTATCAGGGAACCATGTGATTATAAATTAGACTTGATCAAAACGGGCCAAAACTTGAAATTCAGCATGTTTGACCGACCCATGCCAACTTCTAATTATTCTTTACTTTTAAACTTTCTATTTGAAAATAAAAAATAGTGAAAGAAAAGAGATGACTGCAATTCGCCATTTGCACATCACTTATTCGAGAATAAAACCATAAAAAATCAAAAGGAACTGAAAATGTTTAGGATCGTTTTAATGTTTAAAATAACCAAATAGATCGTTTTGTTTAGTTTTTTACTAACAAATACCAAACGATTCCCTATAAAATACACTATAATTTGATCATTATGATATCAAATAATTATATAATATATATTTGAAATTAGGAATTACAATTTCGACCTGGACCCGATTTACCCGACCTGTTTGACCTGTTTTGGAGCAGGTCAAACCCGCCCCGTAGGCGGGGCGGGCATGGGTACCTCTCATCGACCCGACCTGCCCTGACTCGCCCCATTCTCGTCCCGTTCTTGCCTATATTACATATAATCTTAGTCAAATTACTTAGGATTTTCCTCTTATTACATTATATTTTAGCTATAATAAAGTTGTAAATAAGTGAAAACCTCAATTTCTTCAATAATTTAACTACATTTTATCATATTATGGTTTCTTTCTTGGTCTTTTAATGAAAATAATGAATTTTTCTAATGTTTTTTGCATAAGTACATACCCAACGGGTCGACCCGCCCCTACCCGCGCCCCGTGATAAATTACCCGACCTGGACCCGACCTGCCATGGGGCGGGTATGGGTATCGAGATACCCGCCCCGGACCTGCCCCATTGCCATTCCTATTTGAAATGATAAAAATTGGACTAATTGGGTTGGTCGAGGTTGAACCATTGAATAACTTTAAAATACATTATATTTTAGCCACTAAGATATAACATAATAGCATAATATATATTATGCTAGAGAAAATAGCTTGTTTCAGAATGACAAACCAATGATGTTCATTTGTTTTACTTGATGGCCAAATCCCCTGTAGGTCAGACCCATTCAACTCTTTTATTTTATGGTTAGCGGTTAGCCCATTAGATACCATGCATTAGTTTATTGTTAAATTTTTTTATTTTTAGCAATAAAAATGAGTATTGTTTTTGCCTTTTCATATATATTTTATCACCAGGGAGAAATAAAAAGGCTTAAAGAAAAAAATTGACACTCCTGGACCCGTTTAAATCCGCATGTGTACGGTAAGTTGGCCCGTTCCATAGATGAAAGAGAAAAAATTGACACTCCCTATTCTACCCTTCCTACAAACGCTCATGGAGCAGGAAATTTGAAATGGGAGAAGGGTTTTTTCCTCCATGCTATTATATGTTTTTAATTTAAAAAGATACAACAAATGTACTTAGTGTGATTGGTTATGATCCTTGCTTTTCTTTAAAATGGTCATGGTTCGAATCCCAGTACGTGTCTTTTTAATGAATAAAAAAAAGTAATTGTGAAGACCAAAATGTCCTTCCTACTTTCACTCTCGTTGCAGGAAATTTGAAATAGGGCTCCCGTTTTTCCCTTCGGTGTATTATATTATGTGTAGACAAAGTCAATGATAGTAATATGAATTTTAGTTAATTTTTTTTGTATAAATTTCAAATTTGGTCACTGAGATTACTAATTTGGTTCACGTATGCTGATTAATTATTAGATTCTATTAGTGGTAACTAAAATTAGTTCAATAGTCCAAGTTTGATCACCGACCATCACCTTCCGTTATACTCCGTTAATAGCATTAGTTTTTTTGATTACATGACTAAGAGAAACGCCTAGCCATCCGATTTTAACTCAAAAATATTAAAATCCGACCCGCCATGTCATAAAAACCAATCACATCAGATACCCTAACCCAACCTGTGAATTGGGTGCACCCATGAATTGGGTGTTGCTTTGCATGATTGGGTAAACTTATGGGTTGAATAAGGTGGTTAATGGTTAGACCCAAATTAATATAGTTGTACCATAACTCCTGTTAATGTTAAGAACCAGTTGGTATGAATAACTTGAGGTGTTAGAAGATGTTCAATTATGAATCTCATGTATTCTTATTAGTGCCCCACAAGCCCAAACGTAAGCAAATGAAAAATAGACTCAATAAAATAAGCCCAACTTATTCTCATTAGTAATTTTCAGGGTTCAAGAAGGCGCGCCTAGGCTCAATTAGACGCTAGGCGGTGGAGGATCGCCTTGACTTGGCCATAGGCGCTGGTAGCGCTTAGTAGGTAGGAATAGCGCTTAGTTTGCGCCTAGTGGAGAGAAGGCATGCATGGGCGTTCCCCGGCGAACTTAGGCGGTTGAACCGAATACTCTTTGTTTTGTCCTAGAAAATCAGAAACTTGCCTCTTGCCCTATAAAATCAGAAACACGGGAAGTAACATCTGCTGCCGCCTGCCGCCCTAGCTCTCGCCCCATCTGCTATCGCCTACCGCCCTAGCTCTCGCCCCATTTGTTGCTCTCTGCCGCCGCAGGAGAAAGTCATCGATCACTCTTCTCGCCTTCACACCGCTCCGCTGCTATAGTGGGAAATAAAGTCGAAACTCGTCAATTGCTGCTCCTTCCTTCTCCTCGGTACGTAGCACAAGCTTCTTGCCTCTATAAGCACCTATTAGCAGATGATTGGTCACTATTTGCTTGTTATTTGTTATGTTAAGTGTTTACTGTTAAGAACTAGGCATTGTTAATTTTATATGCACTTGGATTATATGAATTATTCCAGAAAACAGGAAATATTTGAGAATTTTTTCATTTATGCTCTGAACGCCTAGGCGCGCCTAGACTACGCCTAATCAGGCAAGGCCCAAGTCAGGAGCCGAGCGTGCAACTCTGTGAGTTCTTGTGGCCCTTGAGTTGGTAGCTTTCAGCCACCCTCGTTGCTTCTTCTCGTATGTGACGCCTAGCCTTAGTGCTTCGTCCACGTCGAGAAAGTTGCAACTTGCCCCAGTTTCAACCAAGGCTTTTGTCTTCCTTTGGTTGAGATTCGCCTCTACGAAGCATTGGTTGTGTTGCTCGGGGTGAGGAGACCCTTCTGTCCGCTTGATGGGGCTCCATTTTTTGAGTCACCTTCTCTTCCTCTTTCAAGCTCGAGCACTCTGCTAGTGCGGCCTTCATGGCCGACAACTTGTGCTTCTTTGGAAAATCTCTCACACGATGCGAACCATCACAAAGAAAGCAATTAAGGGGTTTCTCAACCTTATCATTTCCACTTTGATCCGAGCTACCACACCTTCGTGTGTCTTTGTCATAGTCGTGCCCACCTCCATTGCCTCCAGAATCCACACGTTCCTCTAGCTCATGGTACTCGACTAGGGACTCGACAAGACTTTGCACGCCTCGTCATTATAGCTCCAACTTTGACCATGGTTGGAGGCCATAAAGGAAGGTGAACATGGCCTCCTTGTCAGTGTAGTCGGGGATCTCGAGTAGCAATTCGTAAAACTCCTCCCCATCCCCTCGAATCACTCAAATAAAGAGGTGCAGTTTTTACCTTGGTATTCTCATCTCGAATACCCAAAGCTTTGAAGTATTTCTCCAAGCTCCATAGGAAGTTCTCTAACTCCCTTGCATTCCTCGACCCTTCAAAGCTCTTTGGTCTTGGAATCTCCATGGTTGAGGTGGGTTGCACCTCGGCAGGTACGTTAGCCATGGCCCTCTTCACGAGAGTAACCTCATACATGAGGTCTCCAATCTCCTCCTTCATGATGGCCAGCTCAGCCCGAACAGTCTCCTTCACAACTTCAATGGTGTTGTTCATTGAGTTAGAGATGGTGTTGTTGATGAGGGCCAAAAGTTGTTCACGCAACCCTTCATATCCGATCTCCAAGCTCGCTAATCGAGCCCCCAAACCTTGAACATCATCTTGGATTTGAGTGAAGTTAGCTCCCAAATCCTCAATTGCGGTGACATTTTCAGCAAGTGGCGTAGCCAGACATCGAGTTTACTGGGGTCATTACAAATTTACTAACACTAATGCTTGTGCACCTAATGGATTTTGAGTAAACCGGGGTCCTTGGTGAGCTAACATTGTTGAGACTATGAGGTCCTAAACTTGAATTATCGTACTAAAACCTATACATTTAAAAGATTTTTTTGCCCAATTTTGCCAAGTGGGGTCCTAGAACACCTCTCCTCCTTACCTCCCTCCGCCACTGTCTTCAACCACCTTCACCTCCAATTTAGAGACGGGTTTCTCTAGAGCCTGCACGGGATCACGAGTGTTGGAAGTTCCTTTTGGCCTCAAGCTCTTCGTGGGATGTCTTCCACGTTGCTTGTTGTCACCAATTCGACTTCTGATCCCGACATTTTTGGTGAGGTTCCTCCTCTTCGTTTGACTTTTCTTCTTCTTTGCTAGCACCAAGCCAAACCAGGCTATGATACCACTTGTCACGACCTTACTCTTGATCGTGCGGCCTTAGCTCTCAATTCCGTTAGAGAACTAACCAGCATTCTCTCAAACTCACTAGCAAGCAAAGAAAGACAAGGAAGACAAAGGATGGGAGAACTCTCTAAGTGTATTACTCTAAAGAAATATGGGATGATTACAAATGAGCGAGATGACTCCTTATATAGGCCTCTCCACATACAAGGCATCATTGTCCCTCATAATGGTCTTCTCTTCATTACTACATTCATTAAGTCCCCTCATAATGCACTCTCTTAATATCACCCATAATGCTTCTAGTTTTCCACACACGCCACATGTGCATCCGCCATGTTGTCACATTGTTAGCGTCATGTCATCTACCACATATGACAATACCTGTGACCATAAATTTGATTGTCATCCTTAGAAGTAGCTACTCGCTTCTGCATGCCCTTGAATTATTTTTTGTACGAGAATTCAGAAGTTATTTATTGGTAGCGAGCACGTGCATAAGATATAACCACACATTCATCAAAATAAATAACATTTACAGATTTTTTTTCCCCCCGTTGAATGAGATTAAAATTTTCACTTATCGTGTCCTTTATCAATTTCCCAATTTACTATTTTCGGATTTTCACTCCTGTCCCTGAACTTTCTGCAAAGGAAAAAAAAAAACACGAAAAGAACTCGGCAGCGAAAAGGCAGCCAGGATGCGGAACACAAACCAAAATCATACCGAGACGCAAACGGTGAAAAGGGGAAAAATCGAAGTGAAAAAGTGAAAACGGTAGCCAACGGCTGTGGTCGGCCGGTCGTTCTGTGTGTTCTCTTTTGTTTTTCTTTTCTTTATTCCGTTGAATGAGTCGAACGGCACAGAACTACGAGTTCCAACAATGGTGGAACAAACAGCGCCACTCGTTCCTCGACTCCTCCGACGATAACCCGCCGAGCTCCTCAGCCGCCGCTTCCTCTTCCTCCTCCTCCTCCTCCCTCGCCGTCGACCTCACCTCCTCCCCCACGGCCACCACCAAGGGCCACCACACCCGCTCCGCCCGGCAGCTCTCCTGGCTCTGGCTCCTCCGCTTCCACAAACTCACCGCCTCCGTCGCCTGGCTCACCGACTCCTCCATCTCCCTCCTTCGCACCGCCAACCGTCGCATCTCCAACCACCACCGCTCCCCTTCCGCCTACTCCTCCTCCTCCCGCCTCAACAAAATCATCCGCATCTTCTTAATCCTCGTCCTATTGCTCCTCTTCCTTGAGCTCCTCGCCTACCGCCGCGGATGGCATTTCACCCCGCCTTCCGTCGAATCCGCCGAGGCTCTGGTAGAGCGCCTTTACGCCAAATGGCTCGAAATCAGGGCCGATTACTTGGCCCCGCCCCTCCAATATCTCGCCAATGTCTGCATTGTCTTGTTCCTCATTCAATCCCTCGATCGCGCTGTCCTTATGCTCGGCTGCTTCTGGATCAAATTCAGGAAATTGAAGCCGATTCCGCCTGTCTCATACGCTGCGCCCGACGTCGAGGCCGCTGAGAATTATTACCCCATGGTATTGGTGCAGATCCCCATGTGCAACGAGAGGGAGGTAAGCTGATGTAGGTTCCATTACCCTTGCTTTCTTTTAGGCATATTGTCGAACACTTGGTAGGCATTTTTTCTCATTTTTACTGTAATGTGATTGCAGGTTTACCAGCAATCCATAGCGGCGGTTTGCATCCAGGATTGGCCGCGAGAGAGAATGCTGGTACAAGTCCTGGATGATTCTGATGACCCGGATACCCAAGTTCTTATCAAGGGTGAAGTTCAGAAATGGCAGCAGAAGGGTGTGCAGATTGTGTACAGGCATCGTTTTGTCCGAACAGGTTACAAGGCTGGTAACCTGAGGTCTGCCATGAGCTGTGATTACCTGAAAGATTACGAATTTGTGGCCATCTTTGATGCTGATTTCCAGCCAGCACCAGACTTCTTGAAGAAAACCATTCCCTACTTCAAGGTAGAGTTGCGTTGGTAAACCCATTGGCAATTGATCTCGTTTTCTGCTGCTCCGATATAACCTTCACTGTGATCTATTGTATTGATGAGAAGCTGCTCTTTGTTATAAGGGAAACGATGAACTAGGGTTGGTTCAAACAAGGTGGGCGTTTGTGAACAAGGATGAGAACCTGCTCACTAGATTGCAGAACATAAATCTGTCATTCCACTTTGAAGTTGAGCAGCAAGTCAATGGCATTTTCATCAATTTTTTCGGTTTCAATGGCACGGCTGGTGTGTGGAGGATAAAAGCCCTAGAGGATTGTGGGGGCTGGTTGGATAGGACAACTGTTGAGGATATGGATGTTGCTGTTCGTGCTCACCTTTCTGGGTGGAAGTTCATCTACCTGAATGATGTGAAGGTCTGCATTTCATCTGAAGCATGTTTCTTTCTATTGCAGGCGATATGCTAGGTAGGTAGTGTTTTAGGGACTTTAGACATTGTAAACTAATGAACTCCTTTGTCTATCGTTTACAGTGCCTATGTGAACTTCCTGAGTCCTATGCAGCTTACAAAAAACAGCAGCATCGATGGCATTCAGGTCCCATGCAGTTGTTTCGCTTATGCTTCGTTGATGTGCTCCGATCAAAGGTGATTAAGTTTTTTGTTCTCTGCTATTGAGAATTGAAATGTAATTATTAACCCCGCAGCTGATAGCTAACCTTTTGTACCAACTGAGGTTAATAAATTTTCCGCATGAAACGTACCTCCTCTCATAAACATAAGCTGCAAGGCTAAACCCACTATTTTGTTGCCTAAAACTTGGGATTCAAGATAACCCGTGATAGTTGAGCAGACCCTTTCGTACATAACAGATGTTTGTTTGCTGGTTGCAGTTGAGTGTGGGGAAGAAGGCAAACCTGATACTTCTGTTCTTTCTCCTGCGGAAGCTTATCCTGCCTTTCTATTCATTCACTCTTTTCTGCATCATTCTACCCCTCACCATGTTCCTCCCGGAAGCTGAACTACCGGCTTGGGTTGTGTGCTACGTTCCTGGTCTCATGTCCATCTTGAACATCTTGCCAGCCCCTCGCTCATTTCCGTTCATAGTCCCTTACCTTCTATTTGAGAACACCATGTCGGTCACCAAATTCAATGCCATGATATCGGGGTTGTTTCGCCTGGGAAGTTCTTATGAGTGGATAGTTACAAAGAAGTTAGGAAGATCATCAGAAGCAGACTTGATTGTGCTAGCTGAGAAGGAATCGGATCCTCTGGTGTTGGAAAGCTCTGGGATCCACAGGTCTTCATCTGAATCAGGCCTGGATAATCTGAACAAGCTAGAAGCGAGCAAGAAAACGGTGAAAAGGAAAAGAAATCGTCTGTACAGGAAGGAACTGTCCCTGGCGTTCATACTGTTGACTGCTGCTGCTAGAAGCTTGCTGACTGCTCAGGGGATCCACTTCTACTTTTTGTTGTTTCAAGGGATTAGTTTCTTGGTCGTTGGTCTTGATTTGATTGGAGAACAAGTGAGCTGAGCTGACTAAAAAAGTAGGCATAGATTTTGTACACTTGATTATGATCTGTTTTTGTTACAAGTTGTGGTCCTCGTCTCCCTCCCTTGCCCAGTGCAGTTTTGTGCATTCTTTTCATTCATGTAACTGCATCTCTTTGTTCATAATACAGCTGCCAGAGGCGGTTCGGAGCTGAATGAAAGAGAGAGTTGCTGTTTACAATATATTATCACCACGAGTTTACAATATATTATTCAGACTCTAGTACTGCTAACCCTTGAGAACCATACTAAGCATCGACTCTGAACCCATGCTACTCAGTCCCAATTTAATGGCTGCAAGAAGTTCGATTTTGAACGGATGATAGAAGTGTTTCCACCATCTTGAATTTGAACTTTAAGACTCAACACAAAAGTACCCCAATAAAACACCAAACATGCAATACAATAAAATGATTGGTCAACATGAATCTCACACATAAACCACTGAAATATTAACGCAATCGTATATGAAACCAATCTCGTGTTTTCTCTACACTACATGAACTGTATGATCATATGCGTTACAAAAAGCGTTGCAACTCTTATAGTTTTCTTTGTCGCCTCTTACGAATGAGGTTTGCAGGAGTGATCTTTCCCCATAGGTATCCAAAACAGGTTCGAGGAAATTAATAAGTGTTTGTGAAACCATACGGTACCGGCGGTTAGACCGTAAAATATCCTATCGATAGATGGGTTTTAACATATGAAATTATTGAACCACGGTTGAAACACGATTTTGGTACAAAATACCCTACTGCTAACTCTTTTGGTACAACCTCTAATACAATTTCGCAAACCTTGAAATTAATCTCATGCAAACCAAAAAATGCAAACCACAAAAACTGAAAAGAATTCCACAAGCTAAAGGCCACACATGTATGTGACAGTAGAGGAACGCTTTCACCGTGTATATAAGGATGCAGAGTTCTTGCGGATGAGCAAAAATAATGACAATCGGCTCATATTAGCAAAACCCTTATTGAACAATAACACTATTATATCCTTAATAATATTCATAGATGGTTACCATTTGCACCGCGAAGCACACTATTTGTAACATCTTGTACTATTTTCGACCAAGATATTTTCTGCTTTAGGCTAGAACCTCACAATTTTTGCTTTGGAGTGCATAACAAAGTGACTTACTATAAGGTCACTCATCCCTGTAGTGCTACACAACGATCAATTCACCAGAGTGGACACTGTGTTTATAACATAAAATGCATATATAATACTCTAACATAGGAGACTGGAAATGAAAAAAGGAAGCACAATAAAATTTAGTGATTGAGGTTGTATGATTTTAATTTTTGTTACCGTCGTTTTTAATTTTATGGGATTAAATGGTGAACCAATTAAACTAGCTCATCTGGGTTTATGTCAATTCGCAAAAATCGTACGGTCCATCTAGGGATGGCAAAAATATCCGTAACCGTGGATATCCGCCCGAATCCGGCCTAGTTGGGTAGGGTAAAACCCGAACTCGAAGGACATTTAGTGGGTACGGGTAAAACCCGAACCCGAATATTGCGGGTAATGGGTGGGCATGGATTTCTCACTATCCGATCCGAACCCGCCCGATTATACACATGCATATGTATTTTGTCTAGAAATAATCATTATTTATCTCTAACATATTTTACATTTAGCATATAAATATAACATTTTCATGAAATTGTGTTGTTTTAGTTAATTTTCTTCATTCTAGTGAATTCTTGTCGTACTTTTTCTCTTACTTAATATAAGAATATGTGTGAATGTTAACATATTGGTTGGAGTTATGAAGAGAAATTAATATACATGGATAACCGTGGATACCCGAAACCCGAACGGGTATGGGCATGGTTTTGATTTTCTACCCGCTTCACATGTGGGTATGGGTATGGGTAAAACCCGAAGTACTTTGGGTAGGGTAACGGATATGCACTATCCGCCCCCGACCCGACCCGACCCATTGCCATCCCTAGGTCCATCTTCCACAATCCAATAAAATAAACTGAACAACTATTATAATCGGTATAATGATTCTACTAGCATAACAATTGATATGATTTGGTTCTTAAAACAATGTTGCCGCAGATTAAGAAAGGTAAACAAATACTTCTAACTTCCTTGACTACAGAGCAACCAGCAACAAAAATCTGAAAACTTCACATGCATAGTTGCACCCCAACCAACGAGCCGGAGACAAAACTAGTTATTCTTATCTCATTTCTTCGAATTCAAATAACTATGATTTTTCATAAGCTATAAACCATGGTAAAGGAAACCGGATCGTACCGGCCGGTTGAACCGGTTAAACCGGAAACCCGAGCTCGGGCGACACGGTACCATGTGTGTAGACAGAATTTTGCACCGGCCGGTAAAACCGGTTTAAACCGAAATGTCGCCGGTTTTGGTCTAACCAGAGGCAGGCTATTGGGAAGCGACGCCGTCGTTTTGGAACAAAAAAAAACGACCTTCCAAACCCTAATGGCCTAATCTCTAACGCAAATCGAACCAAAGTACCAAACACACACAGCCGCCGCTCCTCCTCTTCTTCTTCCCAGTTCGAAATCCTCTTCTTCTTCTTCCGTTCAAACCGTCGCTCCTCCTCTTCTCCAGTTCTCCTTTGCCTTTGTTAGTTGAGGAAATGCGTATCTGTTGGATTGAATTGCTTGTAGTTTGCAGGACATCTCCCTGTCATTATAGCAATCGGCAACTTGGTTGGATTCTCTATAGCAGTGTAGCAGATTTCATAGGAAGAGTTTGCATCTTCCAAAATAAATATTTGGTGGATTTGAAATGATTGGTTCTTGCAATAAATATTTGGTGGATTTGAACTATGATTATGGGCTTTCCTTTACTATTGAATTGAATTATTTTATGTTTTCTACTTTGATTAGGGAGTATTATAACAAGAACAAAAAAGAATCATATGATCCCATAAGCCTTGAAAGCATTGATTCTACTGTTACTAGTCACTGGTTGTCACAAGGGGAAGAAGGTTCATCTTCTAGGGAAAAGGAATTGGATATTGACGAGCTGGATCGAGCATTAGAAGAGGAAGGTTTGTTTGTAAATCAATTATGTATGATATGAATTCTAATACTAATAATTGATAATAATTCTTACTTGTTTTCTCTTGTATTGTAGTTGGTGTTGAAGAAGATGGAGGGGACGACTTGCCAAATGTAGACTTATCTACATTTGGTGTTGTTTGACGATATGAAACGTTGTTTGTGAACATTGTAGTGCTTGCTAGTTTGTGTTTGTGCCTTTGTGGTAGTTGTGAACTTGTGGTTTGAGAATGTTGTTTGGTTTGATAATGTTGTTTGAACTTGTGGTGTAAGAATGTTGTTTGGTTGTTTTGTACTCGATCGTAAACATGCATTTGAACGATTATTTAGTTAATTCAGTAATGTTGCAGTTTGTTGAATTTTATATTACATATGCTTATTTAGTTTATTCAGGTTTGTTATCCGGTATATTCCGATTTTATTCCGGTATTATTCCGAAACAGTATCCCGAATCTGCCGTTACGATTTTTTAACAAAAAAATATTATTTAATTACAAAAACGATATTTTGCCGGTACACAACAATTGAACCACGGTAATACCACAAAATACCCTACCAGTCTACCACTGGCGGAGCCGGTATGACTTCCGGTACGGTTTCCTTTACCATGCTATAAACTAACTACTTTCCATTGCTATAAACCAAAGATCATGAACGGCCACTCAGTCTGTCTTCAGCACACTTTACCCAACGAACTTGAATATCAATTATGTCTATGAACCCCTTAATGAACGAAGCTCGAGCTGAGCTCATTCCTTGTCAAAGTAAGCTTAAACTTAGGAAAATTCGGCTTTTAAATAACAAGTCCAGCTCAAATTCAGCATAATTCGACTAGACTCATTTGCAATCTTATTAACAACTCTACAATCCCTAAACTTTCCATTGAATGGAGCGTAAACAGTATCTGATTTTAATTCCAAGTTTCTATGAGGCACATATGAATAGATGTTTCGAACCGCAACAAAACTGGACTGGGCGTAAGCAGAAAAGGCAATGAATTGAGACAAAATTCTAAATCACAAACAGCGGGCAAAATCTCTGCAGTGCTCAACACAATTTCGGATGACCAAACAAACAATTGTTCCACTAGCTAGTAAAAACAATTCATCACTCGTCCGAAAGACAAAATGCTAGGTGTCCAAACACATAGGTTTAACTTGAAGGAGATTGACTTTTAAGCAGTAGCAGCACCCTTGCCCTTCTTCCTCTGGAGTTTCTTCATGTAAAACTCAAGTTCCTTGCCTTCCAATATGTAGCTACAACACAAACACAGTATATAGATGGCCAACCATAAGATGCAATACAAACACATCACACCAAAGGGGGGGGGAAAGGTCCGAACAGATTTATGCTTAGCTTACCCATCTGCTCTACCGCATTGACCAGGTCGGGAAGATATGCATGCCAACAACCTACCACCACTAAATTGCTCCTCGATGTGGGCATCCAGTTTGCGATCTTTCTGGCGATTCTCAATCTTCCTCTGGACATGGCTACTCTTCTTAGCTTCTTCAGGAGCAGCAGCTGGAGCAGCATCTCCTTCCTACAATTGTAGGACAAAATGTAACAATCATTATACAGTAAAAAGAAATTATCACTTTCACAACATCTAATGACAGATCATAACATTGGATTCATTCTCTCCAGCAAACTACTACCTTAAAAGCACAACTTAGCCACAAACAGACTTTACCCTGCTGTGCTTGCTATGGGTAGTCAGCAGATTATATATTCCAGAGGCTATTTATAGGTCAGAATGATCCTAGTTTGCTGACATATTCGATCCACTAGTCGGCTCAGGTGCCGGCTACATAGAACATCAAGATCACACCTACTACTTGTTCTAAGAACGAATACCAATAGAGGCAGGAAAACAGCAAAGACAGCTCAAGACTCGCTTCAGATATTCATGACTCGTCAGAAAATCACATATATAGGACAAGCAAATGTCCAGACAACCAACATAATACCTATAACCTAGAATAGAACAAACAGGACAATGAATTGGAAATCTTGATTTTACCTCAGTAGCTTCCTTCTTAGCAGCTGTCTTCTTCTTCCTACCAATGTCGACACCGTAGTGCTGAAGGTACCACTGCTTAAACGGAGCTGCATCGACTTGAATAATGGCACTCTTCACCAGTGTCTGTGTCCTAACAAGCTCATTGTTTGATGCATTGTAGACCACATCAAGAATACGAGTCTTGCGGGTAACAGCCTCG